TGAATTGAATTGAATTGGCAGACTAGCTGTTCCTCTATTTCCTAATTCTTTGCATTTTGTTCTCCTATTCCTTCCAGCAGGCTGCTCTTCCTGGAGGTGATGGTGTTGTGGGAAAAATGGTCACTCATGGTTTCTGCTTCTATTTCTGTGTTTTCTACAGGAAGGGAAGAACTGGAAATATCACCCTACGATGATTCAGTGATCGACACCCGAATGGCTTCTTTAGTCTCTGGTAAGATGCCACAATTTCCCCATTCTAGAACAATACAGGGATTCTCTATTCTATTCTATTCTATTCTATTCTATTCTATTCTATTCTATTCTATTCTATTCTTTTCTACTATATTCTGTTCTATTCTATTTTATTCTATTCTATTCTATTCTATTCTATTCTGTTCTATTCTATTCTATTCTATACAAAGTTTCCAAACATAAAGGAGCAATCTCCATTTGAAGCTACCAGAATGTGAAGTACAGTATAAAATGGGCATGCTAAGTAGCTGTGCCATAGAATAGGAGGTTTTTAATGATTTATCGACCAGTCAGTTTCCCTCTCCATCCTTTCTTGTTCAACTTTGAGGAACTAATTACTAACTCTGTTTCCTGAATTAGTCATACACGCTATCTGTGCTGTCTAATTGGTTTCTGTCTACCTTCTCTGTTTAAACATGATATTACTTCCTCTTAGTTAAACCCTCATCACACAAACACTTGGTCATCAGTACACATTGGACTAAACATGGCAACTTATGCAATGTGGATAATAAAATAGAGGAAAAGCCTCTGAAGAGAATAGGAAATTGTTTGGGAACAGCCTGGTTCACACATGCTGCTCCTGCAGAAACCAAGCAAACTATTTTCTCTACCAAACACTCTTTGCTGATGCTCAATCTGGATGATTATTTGCCTTCAAGTGTCACTGTGTTTTGCCTTAAGGGATATGCTTGAGTTTACTGGTTTCAAAGTGTTTCCAGTTCCAGACCCTCAGAGGCAACTAACTAGTTCACAGTAGAAATACTTTTACTGGTTAACTTGTTTCTGCTTAATGAATAGCTGTCCCACTAAGGGGGAGACAAGCCTGTCTGAGCTGAGGACACTTTGAATACCTGCATGTTCCAGAAACATGATCATCAGAGGGCTAAGCAGAAAATGTGGGAGCAGTGAAGGAACCAGTTCACTACAAAGGACTGTATTGTAAACAGGAAGTATGAGTTAATTTAAACTTAATGTGAGGCATCTCCTCTGTTTTTCTCTGGGAGTTTTTTACATGTTAAACTTATAGGGCTCCCATACTTTGGTGGCTTTGGACCAGTGGACCGGTGGTCTGTCATCTCAGCACGCCGCGTCAGACCATCGTACCCATAGTAACATGCACGCATGTGTATTACTGCACAACGTTACCACTGCATGGAAGAGCTGTCAGATCACCTTACCCTTCAAAAAACACCAAAAGCAGTAATTAAATTGTTATTTTGTACATAACTAAAGGGATCCACGCCTATTGAAGTAGTTTAAAGCGTATTTAGCGACGTGTCTAGCTGCACCTGCAGCCATCTAAAAAACCCATACAAAACACACACCCCCGCCTAGCCAATCGTTGATGATATTTATCTGGACATTATGTCATCTTGGATGCAGCTTGGATTTCTGAGATAATTAGTATAAAATCCTTGAGACATTCTTCTATATAAAGTGAAAGTAAATATGTTGGGCTTCTCCTCGGCTCTAAGAAAAATTCTGAGCTGCATTGCTGGACATGACAGAATAAAAGAAAAATAAAATCACATCTGCTTTATTTCTAAAAATCAATTCAATTCAGTTTATTTCACCAGTTCACCAGATCATCCAGTCAGATTGATTCAAAGTTTTCTATCTAAGGAAAACCA